AAATGTGACCTAATTTGTACTTTTATTTTCTTTTATTGAGATTAGAGATATTCCTTTGGGTATAGAAGGCTTTAAATTAATGTCCATTTTCATGATTAATATGTAAACGAAGTAGAAAATGGGTCCTAATACTATATTTCGTATGTGTAGGCCATTTTAAGCCTATACACTTTTGACCATAGGATAGGATATAGCCTTTTCTTTTCCTATAGTTCAAGAAATTCCTATTATTAAAATTTTAATGTAAAGCATTGCAGTTAGACATATAATATGATAACTTAATTGCCATATCAAGCTGTTATGATTTAGTGGTCCTCCCAATGAAGCTTCTCTTAGATGTCATTCACTTCCTTTATAAAAAAAAAAATTGAAAGAGAAAGAGAAAGAGAAAGTTTATTAATTTCAACACTATGATAATTAGGGTAGTCAAGATAGGAATGCTTTAAAATTATATTAGACCATAGCTCACCAATGAATTATATGTAGAATGGGAGATTATATATATATATATCTAAAAATTAGTTGTGATGAAATCCCCCATACTTATGATATAAAAAGAATAAAGGCAAATAACATGTAGTTTGCATATTTTATTCTTTGTATCATTTTGATTTCTGTAATTTTAATTGAGTTGATAATTTTGACACTAAATTTTAAATTTTCTATCAATTAAGTCTAATGAAAAACAATCATTAGCGTTTTTGGTAGAAAGTATAGTGAGGTTTGTGGAATAGTCGTCAATTTCTATCAGTAACAAGTTGAGCGATGTTCCATTTCTAATGGCAGAAGAAGAATATGCAAGCTGGAAGGACTTGAATAAGCCGGGAGGGATCAAGGATTTCCATATAAGTGGGGGGAAAATATAAATATTAACAAAAATTTTAAATAAAAAATATTGTTCGTAATATTAATTTTTTATCTACGTATAAAAAGTGAAAATAAGATGAAAACATATAGAAATAAATTTTTTTTTTTATCCATATTGAAAACAAAAGTAACTATAAAAATAATATATTTACTAAATTGAGATATTTTGAGTTGTGTTTGACGTTTTTTCATGTCATTAAAAACAGTTATGATTAGAATTTGCATAATGTCTTCCTCAATAAATAAGATCAAATAATTAGCTAATACCTTATTTTATTATCTAGAAATAGGGCTTGTTATCAATGGTAGTTATAAAAAATTATTAATTTTATTATATTTTGTCTTTTTTTTTTTAAAATTTTATACTTTAATCCAATGTTTTATAGATATAGAAAAGCAACCATTTTATTTATTTATTTATTTTAAATCCAGAGAGGATGACCATTTAAAGTTTCTAAAAAAAAATACTTAGAGAGGAAGCAAACCTCTATAATTTGGAGATAATTATAATTAATACTAGTATAATAATAGAGGCTTTCAAAATGGTAAGGGGAGGGGGGCGCGATCGCCCTCTCTTACCCCCTCTAAGTCCATCCTTGTTGATAAGATATTTTTTGAAAAATGCTTTAGAGCTCTAAAGCATGCTCTAATGATGTGGCAGTTATGTGAGGTTCACCTTGATGTGATATTTTGACTTATATATATATATATATTTTAGAACCTGCCAGCTCAGTAGAGATCGGTTTAGAGCTCTAGATCATCACTAATATTTTTTAATAGAACAATGATACATTCTTCTAATTTTATAGTTCTAATAATGTGTCAAATAATAAAATAAAATAAAATTAAAGTCAAAACATCACATCACAGTAAAATCTACTCACATTAAAGTTCATTAGAGCTTTCAATCATTTTTCTTTTTAATAGCACAGAAAATACAATGTGCTTAGCATCATAAAGATCCCTCTACATGGGTGTGCTATAAACCTAGAAGAACAAAACTAAACATATCAATTCCTTTTATCGGTCTTTTCGAGTTGTATGCACATTGATGACATGTGACCACTTTTTAGGGGCAAAATAGACATAACATATGGCATGTATGAGCATATTTTTCATCTAAAGCCCCAACTTATGTTGAGCTATTTTGAAAAGATTGTTATAATTAATTTTTTGATTAAAAATTAATTATAATTAATTTTTTGTGAGAGAGAGAAGTAGGTTATAATCTGAGAAGTGAATTATAATCCACTTTCCAAAAATCCCGTTATTGATTAGGCCAAATTGATATAAAATAAAATAAAAATTCAACGTAAAAAACATGTCCATCAAAAATGCATGAACCAAAATGATATGAGAGCAAAATTTAGGGACAATTAATGTAATTTTTGCTCCATAAAAGTCAAAAAATTGCTGGGGTTAGTGCTAAATATTGTTTAGTTGATTGGGCAATTGCTGGATGAGATCATCTCTCGGATATGAAGATAATTAAATAAAAGCATACATTTAAATTATTAAGTTACTTTTCTCTTTCTATGAGTTAAAACCATACAATTAAACCAACAAAAAAACAATCTTTGTCGAAGAACCGACACATCTAATTGAAAAAATTTATTTTATTAAACCGGCTCCCAGAAGGATATACTTAACCTAGGCCTAGCTTTTAACAATCTAGATAAAAATAAAAAATAAAAAATAAATGGGCAACAAAGGTTTGCATTTATGTATATATATATTTGGTATTTGATATCATAAAAAATGAAAAACTAACAGAAAACAAGTTTGTTTTGACAAAAAAAATTCTACTTTTTATATGTGAAAAATATTTATCATTGTCCTTATCACTGCTGTCATTACCTCTCTCGTTGTGGTAGTATTACCAAGTCTTTCACCATTACCACCGTCATTTTCAAAGTCACAATCAAACACAGAAAATATTTTTCATCAAAATAAATGTAATTTTAACCTTGTATATATTCACTAATTAAATACTTACAAAAAAGTGGTACTGCTAAAAATGAGCAGACAATGTGTTGTAGATTGGAGGAAAATGTTTGAAATAGGTTTTGAGGTAAATTACATTAAATTCTCTCCTGAGATTGGTAAAAAAAATACATTGAACTCCCTAAAATTGATGGAAAATACATTGAGTTTTTCTTAAATTTTAATTTACACAAAAAACAGAAGTTGCTGTATCTTTTTTTTGTTTTTTTTTTTGTTTTATGGTCTATCAATAGGATATTAATTACAAATACGAGAATAATTATATCAAACTGGACAATTATAATTCAACAACACATATCTACAAATCCAACTAAACTACAAAACGGTGCTTGTCAAGGGTGGAGAAATTTTCTCACGTAAGTGTTAATTTAACAACAAATAACTAACATTTGTTGATAAAAAAAAAAAAATTACTACACAACCCCTAAACAAAATACTCTAATTAAAATTGAAAAGTTCATATAATTATTAAATTTGTTAACAAATATTTTTTTTTTACGCTCAACAAGAAAGGAGAAACTAGCCAACTTAATTTGACATTGAAATCCGAGAACAAATTTAAATTTTGAAAGGTCGAAAAAAAAAAATGATCTAACATCAATTTGGCTGGCAAAGTCACCAAAAGACTAAAATCGTCCACCCAACAGAAAATCTAAAATTAGATCCTTTGTCCTAAGCTTTTGGAGACCAGCATCATCTATCTTTGATCTTCTCCTTTTCCTCAATAATCCCAATATTTACCTTCTTTCACCCTTTGTTAAAAGATTAAATATAATAGAAAAGGGAAAGTTTGGGGACTTAGACTTATCTATTTAGAATTTTTTAAATAAGTAATTGTGTAGCAGTTGTGATATATATACTAATTGATATATTAATTAGTGTATTAATATAATTATGAAATTATCATTTAAAAATTATGACTTCACCCATTATATAAATTACAAAAATTTAAAATTTATAAAAATATGTCACATCATCAGTTAGTAGACTAATTGGTATATCAATTGGTGTATATAACATTATTCATTGTATGGTAGAGATTTATTTGTGTAGTGTGGGGTCTATATAGAATTTATGTAAGGTGTGATAAAAATTAATTTCTCAATTGATAAAAGTGAATTTATAATATTACTCAATAGAAAAATTAAAAAGATTACATGATTAATATTGTGATGATGGAAGATAAATGATGTTCATCTAATTTAATTTACAATTTTTTTAAGAGTGAGATTATGTAAAATGATATTACTGTTAAACTCAATATTTATTCTATAACTGTAATGTTGGTTAAGTAATACTATAACTACACCATTAAATTAAAAGATAAGTTTAGCCAATAGTAAGACTTGTGAATTTTACTTTTAATAGTGCCTACTTGAGACATGATCTTCCAAAATTTTGTTTTCACAAGGGTTCCAAGCCTTTTTTTCATCCAATCAAATTTCACTACTCCCTTATAGTAAAAGCTTAATTTATTTATTTTTGTCTATATATGCATACAACAATGTTAAATAGTTTAAAATTTTGTGACTCAACTAGCTCAAATCACTCAAAACGATATTATTTTGAGTATACTTGAGTGTAAAATGACGTCATTTTGACAGATTTAAACTATTTAAAACATAAAATTTTAGATTATCAAATATTTTTCATGTGCATAAATTGAAAACTGTAATCGAGTGGGCATTTTTTTTTGGACCGATAAACACCAGTTGGATGACTCTCATGAGACGATATATATTTGTTCACAATTATAAACCCAATGAAAAATCAATAATTTCAGCGATCGAGATGAACGTATCTTTTTCCATTATAGTGACGTAGCGCTATGTTCAAGCAAAAAATGGCCCCCACACTTGAGAAAAAAGCAAAAGCTTTCTACTTTTTCTTTTTTTTTTTATATAATTTTTTTTCTCTCCTCATTAATGAAAGAGATTACACAAGAAGATCTGCCTTTGTTTTGCTTTGCTTTGCTTTGCTTTAGCTCGTCATCTTCGCGTGTGAACACCAATTTCTGAAGAACTACTCTCTCTCTCACACTCCTCGATCATCACAAACCTCTCTCTCTATGTGGACATTGAAGATCTGTCTCTCATCCATATCATCATTCTTTTAAGACGCATTTAAAAAAACACATAAACAAAAAAGAAATTCATAAAACTTAAATTAAATTAAAAAGAGAAATTTTTTATTATTATTTCTCTCGACGTAAACCCCCAAACCAATACTAAAAAGAAAAACACATATATTGTTTTTTTTGGAAATTAGGAAATTAAATCAAGCCATTAGCGATAGCTTGATTGGTATCGAGACGAGTTGTCTCATAAACAGGCAACTCTTCTCGGTACCTGTCGATACCAATGGCCGAGAGATTGTCAAGTTCGAAAAGATCAGAGCTAGCGTAACTAGCAGCATCGTCATCTTCATCATCATCGTCATTGTCAAACTGATCTTCGTCGTATTGAACTTTGTTCTGATAATTCTTCAACAAATCTCTGGCCACTTCCTCGACTCGGCGATTCTTCTCCATGATACGAAGCTTAAGTTCTTCATTAATGGAGTTTCTCTGTGCGCTGTTCGGATCATCTTTGTTCAACGATTTTTCTCCGCACGGTTGACAGTCTTCATCCACAATCACACTCACAGGATAGAATGTGACTGATCTCTTCACTCCATTGCTCAATTTTCCTCTTGAAGATGGAGTTTTGCTCAAACATGATCGGGAAAACGAAGAAGCCGATGAACATGCAGATGCATATGTTGATGATTTCGATTTACAATCAGAACTCGTGTCATTGTAACTTCCGGTGTTGGACGACGATGAAATCTTCGCCTTTTTAGGACTCCCTGCAGTGAATAGAGAGTTGAGAAAGTTCGAGAGTTTGCCTCCGGGAGAGATCGGCTGCTTCGCCTTCTTGAGGTCGCCGTAGATCTTCATTGCTTTCGATTTCGTCTTCACGAAACTGTTTTCGTGTTTCGGCTTTTGATTTTTCGAATTATCAAACACCTTGAATTCACCACTACTACTACTTCCTTGTTTGTTGAATTTCTCTGGTGGAGCCGAAATGCTTGTCCGAATAGGTTTCGGCCTGTGTGAAGTGAAAGTTGAAGAAGACCTACACGGAACTCCATGAACAGACTCGGCTTCGGAGGACGAAAATCCGCCTCCGGAGCTCGAATCGGAGGAGCTTGAGCTCGATTTCAGGAACACGGATTCGTCGCGATTCGGCCGAGTCCGCGATTTCGTTTCGAAATCAGCCACGGATTTACGGCGGAGAACGATCTTCTCGCTCACCTTTTTTTCCATCCACTTCTCGATTATGCAGGCTCGCCGGAGATTCGCCGTGTCTACATCGTCTTCAAAACCACCGCCATGACAATTACTGCTTTTCTTCCTCATTGTTTCTCTGTAGAGAACAAACTCGTCTCCTCCGCGTCCGCGTCCACCTCCTCCTCCTCCTCCTCCTCCGCTGCCTTCGTCAATGGAGCGATAGATGGCGTCGAGAAGAGTGGATGAGAAAGATGGATTGTTGTTGTTATTGTTGTTGTTGTCTCTTTGTCGTCTATATTGATATTGATATTGAAATTGATCGTCTCTGAGTGATCTATCCCAGCTTGTATCCATGTGTGATCTTTATAGTTTTGATGAATGAAATGAAACACACACACAAACACAAAGGAAAGAGAAGATGACAATCAATAAGAGAGAATAAAGGCTTTATTGTCTGCTGTGAGAGAGTCAAAAGCTGCAAATACGAGTGAGGGAATTGAGAGATACACAGGGTACAGACATTTGTGAGAATTGGGAAGGGAACAATGGAGACATGGTAATTGATGTTTGCTTTTGATGTGTAGAGAGAGAAAGAGACAATTTTAGAGAGAGAAATAGAGAGTAATGAAAGCCAGAGGTCACGCTCGGCCTGACGCTGAGGACAGAGAGAGAGACAGAGAGAGAAACAGAGAGATGATGAGAATGGGAGAGAGACGGGGTTGTTTTTTGTTCTTAGGTACAACGGAAAGAAATGAGAAGACAGAACTCGGTTGCGACTCTGTTTCACTCGCACTTTATAAGGCAGAGGACTGTGCCCTGTTTGGGAAGTGTGATTGGTTTTTTTTTTTTTAACGTTAAAATTCATAACAAGATAAAATAAGTTAAAATAATGGGCAAATTACATATACACCCCTCCAGGTTTGATTAAATTACAGATACTCCCTGAGGTTTCGGAAATTACATCCCGCCCCCTGAGGTTTGTATTTTCATAACAATTTACCCCCTGAGGTTTATATTTCATAACAAATTACCCCCTAATTTCTTATGCAAATATAGCATTCAGGGGGGAATTCGTAATTTCTCAAACCTCAGGGGGTATCTGTAATTTTGTCAAACCTGGAGGGGTGTATATGTAATTTGCCCTAAAATAATTAATATGATAAATTGTCATATTAAATTTATATTTTTTTTTTCACAAATATTATATTTAACTATAAAATAATTTAATATTTCTCTAAACATAAAAATTTTAATCAATTAAATTAACTTATTAAAATAACCAACTTCTCAGACGAGTCATGTGTTTGTCGGATATGAATGTTTGTGGGATATGAATTAATGTTACCGCTTTTTTATTCACATTATTCGATTACGAAAATGATACATAAATTTATTTATTTTTGTAAATTTGATGATGTGTCAAGAAAATAATTAATTAATAATTAGATAATAAATGAGAAAGATAATTAATTTAGATATTTTAATAGAGTGTCACATCATTAGGTCTACGAAGTAGATTTTAATATTTTTTGGCTTAGATAGCAATACTCTAAATTTTTTGGCTTAGATAGCAATACTCTAAAGCCCTGTTTGTTTGGAGAGTTAAAGGGGGGATTGGGATTGGTAGTGAGGTAAGACCCACTAATATTGTGTTTGTTTTGAGAGATATAGAAGGAATTGATAGTGAGTTCCGGATTAAAATGGGCCTCCCCAAGGGGATTCAGATGGGCCTCCAGGACTTGGTATTAGAAAAATAGTCCGGCGGACTAAAATTTTTTTTTTATTATTTATTTTTTACATGTCGGGCATTTTTTTTTAACATTAATGTTTAATTTTTTTGTTAAGTAAAAATTATTATTTTATTTTTTTCTGGAATTTTTTTATTTTATTTTTATTTTTAAATTTTTTTTTACATGTTGGCCATTTTTTTTAAAACATTAATGTTTAATATTTTTGTATTTTTTTATTTGTTTTATTATTTTATATTTATTTTATATAAAAATAATTTAGCAATCCCTACATTAACAACTATCATCAAAACAAATACAATTTTACTTAATCCCCTCACTATCAATCCCCTCCATTCTACATCTGAAAACAAACGGAGCGTAAAGCAAATTCTATTATGCACTGGTTGTGATTTTTGTGATTTTTTGTTATGGTCTATTGTAATATTAATGAGAGTTAATTACCTAAAAATCTTATTTATAAATATTATGATAGTTCATGTCCTATTTAAGATTTTTTGAATCAATAAATCTTGATAATGTTATTAGTTTTTTTAAATTTTTAAAATTAAGAATATTATCAATTTTGCATAGTAATATTCCAAATAATTGTTTCACTAATTGATGAAAAAAAGAGCATGAGATAAACGTTTTTGCCATTCTACTTATTGGTTTGATTCAACTATTCAATAAAACTGAAAACATTAACAGTTTTTTTTCCAGTGTTAAAACAGAGAACATTATCAGTTTTTCATTTTAATTGTTTTTTTAAAGTTTTACACATCAATGTTCCATCATCATACTCCTTTATAGATAAAAAAAAATTTAGTTTTGTACAAAAAAAAAAAATCTATTTTTTCAATTTTTTTTTAAAAAGAAACTTCTTTTTTTTGCACACAATTTTTTTTTTTTTTTTTAGTTTTTTCAATTTGGAAGTTGATGTTTTAAAGTTTTGAAAATTAAAATAAATATTAAATCATCATGCTTCTTTATAGATAATCATAAATGATGAACAATCATTTTTTGAAAGGCAATTCCGACTATTAAAAATTTAATGGGACTTGAAAGTCTAAAAAATCTTAGTTAGGACTTAATGGAGTATAAATTCATAAATTAAGACTCGTGTGTAAATATCCCTATAAAATATGACTAAATGATAACTTATTGTGATGTTAATTATGACTTATTATAATATAATTTATGATATTATTTTAATTATAGTTCAAATGATTTTTATTTATATGTTATGTGATGTTTTGATTATAACTCTTTTTTCTTTTCTTTTTTCATAAATTAAGACTCGTGTGTAAATATCCCTATTAACAATGACTAAATGATAACTTATTGTGATGTTAATTATGACTTATTATAATATAATTTATGATATTATTTTAATTATAGTTCAAATGATTTTTATTTATATGTTATGTGATGTTTTGATTATAACTCTTTTTTCTTTTCTTTTTAAATTATGATTGAAAATTTAGTTATAATATTTGTCATAACTAACAATACAAATATCATAACTCGTAAATGATATACATTCTTTTGAGGGTGGGTTAATGATAACCCGTTTGAATAAATAGATTCAATTTAATGAACTCAGAATTTTATGTTTGGAGTTTAAATTTAAGTAGAAAATTCAAAAAAAAAAAAAAGAAAAGAAAAGAAAAGCAAAGCAAAAAGAAAAAAGAAGTGACTAGGGAAGATGAGAAAAAAATTAAATTGAAAATTACACACTCAAAAAAAATAAAAAATAAAAAAATAAACAAACAAACAAATAGAGTTTAACACTTGTAATAAAACAAATTTTAAGTTTTTAATTTTATCAATTTAAATTTTAAACTTTTGATTTGTTTTCAATTTAAACAATTTGCATATTTGCGTTAAGTAAAATAAAAAAAAATCATATTTTAGATATTTTATAATACCTTCATCAAGTTTAGTGACTAAAATACTATTTTTTTTATATTAATTTTAGTTAACGAAAATAGACAAATAGTTTATATTGAAAACAAATCAAAATATTAAGTTTTAAATTGAAAAAATTAAAAATTTATTTTATTATAAAAATCTTGATTTTTTTTTTTGTTGTAATTGTCCTAATTATATTTCATTCAAATTTTTATCATATTTTTCCTTTATTTTTTAAATTTATAATTTAATTACAATCTAAGTGAAAGGGTGACACATTAGCATCTTACATAGTCATTAACATTTTTATATAAAAAAATTATTTATATATAAAATTTTCATACTCAAAACTCATCTAGAATAATATAATAGTTGTATTTTTAAAATTATGAGTCAAAATAATAACTGTTATAATTTAAAATAAAAGAGTCACTAGAAGTCAAGTTATTAGAAAATGCTATAGACTCCAAATAATTTATCAATTTTTTTACCAAACTTCTCACATGGGTGTGAGACCTACACAAATCCACATGTGTGTGGGTCTCACACCCATATAAGATGTAACGCCCTAAAAAAAAACCCATAACATCATATATTCGCAATAAAGAAAAGAGATTTCATATTATAATCATCAGAGTATTCTTACAAAATGTATTACATGTTGACAACAAAAGTAAATGCCCTATAGGCTTACAACTTTCCAAGTCAACACTTGGTTACAAAAGGAGAGTACTGACTCTACACAAAGTAAGCCATTGGCTTGATATACATGTAATACAACAAAAACAACAAAAAGTATCTAACAGCCTCAAGCCTCCCAAGCTACGTCCTTGGAGGTGGCATATCACCTGCACCTGAAAATGATGTCCCATATAGGGTGAGCCAACGCCCAGTAGAGATATGCTAAACATAATATGGGCAATAACTAAAACGTGAACATTTGATAAATGTTTAACTCACATAAATCAATTCATAATTCATTTCAATTACATGACAAATATGTCCATGTTTCCTTTCATTTTCCATTACTTATCCAATTCTCAATTTATGAATAAGGCTCAGAACCTGTCCAATAATTTAATGAGACTATAGCTCATATCAACAATACTTCCATACTTCACAATAGATACACATATTTGTTGTATCAATGTCACATAAAACACTTCCATACTTCAATAGATACACAAATTTGCTGTATCAATGGAGTTCATCCCTTATCTTCTCCCAAAGAATATCCGATTTAGGAGTCTATCCCCTATCTTCCCCTAAACCGTGGAATATATCTCCTATCTCTTCCCACACAACACAATGTATAGAAGCATAAATCATATACATAACCAATCAATACATAAATTTGATGTATTATTCCAACTGTCATTTTCAATGACGTATTCAATTGATTAGTTTTAATTCACCTAATCATCATGCAATGTCTACAATAATTAAGACTATCCTCCATCGATAGCCCAAAGCAATTATTTCTAAACAGATAATAATTATATCAATAGATAATTTATCAACATTTTCAAAGGTGATTGATTAATGAATCCAACTCCACCATTCTACCTTATAGTGAGCCAATTTCATTATTTCTACTCAATTTCATATTCTCATAATAAATGTCATTAATTACACTAATGACCCAAATATATCCAAACATGGCATTTTCCCATTTTTCTCGACATTGACCCAAAGGTCCAAATATTATCAACAACATCAATAATCTCATTTTTTGACCCAAAACACATATGTTTGAATCAAAAGAACAAAACCCCTCTTTCCAATATAACACATCTCAAACCCTAACTTCCCAAATCAAACCAACTTCAACATTTAATCAAAAGAACCACATGTTTATGTCAAAAACTATAAATATGAGTAGTTATCCCTACCTCAAGCTTAGAAGGGGAAGAATGAAGAAAAACCCAAAAGTCGACGGAGGAGAAACCAAGCTTTGCTTCGATCAAAATGAAGCCCTCGACAAGCTCTACACTTTATCTCAAATGAGCAAGGTGAGTAGAGGTCTTCAAACAAGTAGATCTAAGAATCTTTGAGTGAAAAGTGCCTTTTGAGAGAGAGAGAAGGTGTTTCACGGTTTAAAGAGAGGGAATGGAAGAAAAAATGAGAGAA